TACCCTCCACCTCCCGAAACAAATATCTTTTGACCATGATAGACGAATACTCTCGTTTTCCTTTCGCTTTTGCTTGCGCTGATATGTCATCCTCAACTGTTATTAATTGTTTCAGTCAATTATTTTCCTTATTTGGAGTACCATCTTATGTTCATTCTGATCGTGGCGCTGCCCTTATGTCGGATGAACTGCANNCCCGCCACCGCCACCCGACTTTGGTGGTAGGCAGCTCTGCTGTCGTCCAGTTCAATACCACGCCTAGCCTATCGGGGCCTTATGTGGTTCGCCACTCCAAGTTCCGGGGCTTAGGTTGCCGATTTCAACCACTGAATAGCAGGTCCTCGTGACTGTGGGGTTTACCCCGTCTGCTGTTCATCACACCTAGGTGTGTGTAATAAAAACAACTCCAAACAATCCACGAGATAACGGACAGATCGAGAGATTAAATGGAACGTTATGGAGAGCCATTAATCTGGCACTGAAATCTCAACAAACGGATATAAACCACTGGGAACATATTCTACTGGACACTTGACATTCAGTCTGTTCACTGTTTTGCACTACCACCAATGAAACGCCTCACGAGAGATTTTCAATCGGTCTACAAATGGTACATCTCTCCCGACTCCAGGGACCAGTTCTTCTCAAAAGAATGAATCGAACTTCAAAATATTATCCCCCAACGGAAGAAGTGGAACTTCTAAACTGTAACCCACAATATGTTCATGTACGTCTTCCAAATGGAAAAGAGGAAACTGTATCATTGAGGCTACTTGCTCCAAAAGCGTCTACGTCGGAAAACACCCATGATACCACAGAAGATCAGCATGTGCACCCCACGGAAGAACAATTCACACCTTCGGTGGTTCAACTGGAAAATGAAGCTCCAGAATCAGAAATCCAGTATGATGCTACGGATCACATTCAACAGCTCATAAGAGACCAGCAGCGTGTCCACCCATACAACCTTCGAAGTAGGGAAATTTGAAAAACGCACTGATTCACGGACATTTCACTCAGCGTGGAAGAAAGTGGTGATTTTGTAATACTTTTGATCTTTATACCACTGCATCACCGTTTACTGGTAATCTAGATTTTCCATCTTTCTATTGCAGCTGATGTACCTACATTGTTAGAAGATTAAAGTCTCATTTCCAGCTGTCCGTTTTCTCTCTCTCGTTCGTCGCTCAATCACTCGAGCTTATCACACCCTACTTCTGCGATCACACGGTGAGTTGATGTTGGTGTGACGGCATAGACGGAGATATGTGGGATTCCTGACACAANGTGGGATTCCTGACACAATGCACCTCCATCCATGTTCCCACGGCCAGTGCAATGGTGTGATTTTTGACTGAGTGAAATGCCAACTCCCGAACCACACTAAACTTGTATGTGATCTGCGCAGATACGTGAATGAATCAGGAAAAGCAGTTGTTCGCCTCGGTGGTGTGCTACCAAGTTAAAGAACACATGCATAACTCCTGGCATGACTTGTGCAAGAAGACACACTAATCTGACGACCGAAATTCGTACATTAACGTGACAGGGGACTTAGGCGAAGCGTAACAGAAACTGAAATAGCATGAAATATTAGTTACCAACAGGAATTAGTACTAGGAGTGAGGAAGTGAATTCTTGTGAAAGAATTTTCCGGAAGATATTATTTCAGAATTCAGAAAACGCATCCACATTGTACTGCATGGAACAGAGAATACCGGCGAAAACTCATCGAATAAGGTGTGTAGAAAAGCCACAATTTGATCATCCATCCAACCCTCAAATCCGATAGAAATGAATGACCCAGGTACAATGGTGCACTACCTTGAAAACCTGCACTCAGAGACAGATGACAGTGGTGCAAAGCAAGGCAAAGGTCAATATAAACAGACAAATACAACTGAATATGAAAAATAAACTTCGCCATTATCTCCCGTAATGCATCGCTTTCATCGGTCTTCTGGGTAAATGCGCAGCGTGGAACCACAAGTACTAGAGTTTTCCTACACATCAGCGAAGGTCCGAAGGTAAGCGGAGATTCTCGTTTATGGTAGCAAACCATAAAAACTCCCACTGCTTATATACTGCATATGTCCTTGTTCAGGCGTTGAACTGTTTCATTTTACACGACCAATGCCTATGGTTAACATTGAAACGATTGGGCGTTAGTTGACACTTATTTATACTCCGATACTAAATCTACGAATCAGAGCCGCTACTGTAAAACATACCAATACGGGAACATAGTGGTCATTGCATGAGGCAATAATGCAGGCAACTGATCTCACATTTTGGTGACTATTCGAGTGGGGTGGATAGCCATCCGTTTCGTTTTTTAATGATTTTATTGCAGCTTACCTAGCGGAGTAAACCAACACCACCCCATCCTATCGGTTCGGAGGATCACACAATGCTCCCCCCCCCTGATTGGCTTCTGTTATTGCAGCTCCTCTCCCGAAACCGTTGCTTGTTCAATAAAAAGTTAACGATTATTGGTAGCATTACATTTTACTGTGTTCTGACTGGCATAGAACCACGTTAGTGATTTCCTTTGTAAGAGGTTGATTCCTATAACGAGAGATGGTAAGTGATGTGTTGTTAAATTAGATGATGATGGGATTCTTTCGGAGGACGCAATTGAACTATTAAATAGCGCCCAATAAGGATGTCTCTGCTGACAAGAAACCAAACAGCATCGGACTGGAGTTACCTTACCCGGTCTAATTTCCTTGGCAGCGATCAACTGCCAGCCGACAGCATCCCCACCATAGCTCACTTCATATAATGGCGACTGGTTCGGACGAACAGTTGTGATCAATTGATCAGTGTTGAAATATTTTATCGCAGCCAAAGCAGGATCAGAAGAATTTGTGAATGTCCCTTTGTCTTTCAGAAGTTTCTCACATTTGCACAACCCTGTCTGGATTTGCTTACTCAACGCGTCGGAGGCAGTTGTCAGATTGTTAAATTGCTGTGTGATCGCTAAGAAACCGTCCCGGGCTTCTTGAACTCGGCCCAACGCGAGTAGATACTGGGCTCGACGAGCAAGTAATCGAGGTTGTCGATCAGCCGGGTAATTGTGCTAAACAATCAAAAGGATGGATGGTATAGAAACGAAACGCCACACAACAAATGTGTCAATGTAAGTGGTAAGTCAAACAATGGATGTGAATAGTAAAGCAAAAACAACTAAGAGCAAATAATTCTTCAAAAAAGAGTTACATAACATGATCACTGGCCAACGGAGTTTGTTTCGAAGAGTAAAATGTGAATCTAAGATGAACAAAGATAATTCTAAGCTTAAAGACAAAAGTGGAAGTGATAGTAACGTCGCGTACCTAGCAGCTTTCATCGAAAGTCGATAATAAGGAACAAACAGAACTAATGTTCTGCCTGAATTTGAGATAACTGAACAAAAGACATTGAATTTCTCAAAGGAAGGAAACCATATTGGAGCTGATTGACTTCTTGGTGTAGTACATTTTTCTTATTGGAAATGTTGACTTTGTTCCGTCGCTTTCTGTCCAGTAGTCTAAGAAGCGGAGGGGATAGTGAAACAAGCTCACTCATCTGGAGGAGACAAAAGTGGACAGAGTATCCACGATAAAGAAAAACGGCTTGATCTCTGGACAGAGTATTATAGGGAACAGTTCAACTGGCCCAGTGTTAATGCGATAATTCCAGCAATTGCGGCGGAAACCCCATGGGTGGTAACATGCGAGCCCCATCTGAATAAGAAGTACGATGCTGCATTCAATCACTAAAAAACGCAAGGCTGCGGGACCTGATGGGCTTCTTCCTATCCCTTTCAAGGTGGGCGGTGATTCTCTTGTCGACTCAATTACTACCTTACTTCGCAGCATTTGGTCGGAGGAGCGTATCCCTTTCTCCTGGGGTGAATCGTTGATCGTCCTAATCTTCAAGAAGGGATAACGCAACGACTGCACTAACCACCGTGGGATTAGTTTAGTTCCCATAATTACAAAAGTGATGACTTCTGTGATACTTCGTCACCTGACACCCTTAAGGGAGAGGAATATCCGCGAACTACAAGCTGGCTGAATCGACCAAATCTTCACTCTGCGTTAAGTCCTCGAACTGTGTTACATACATCGCCGGCCAACAATCGCAACATTCCTTGACCTAAAAGAAGCCTTCGATTCAGTTGACCTTAGAGCTCTTCTGGGGTCGCTGCTCCGCAAAGGAATGCCTGGGAAGTACGTAAACTTATTGCGGCCGCTTTACCTGCATACTTCTGATAGCGTAAGGGTCTATAGTGGGCTGAGTAAATTAATCAAAACCAGGAGCGGTGTTCGTCAAGGATGCCCTATTTCGCCATTCCTGTTCAATTCCGTCATAGACGAAGAACTGGAGAATGCACTTAGTGGTTTCCAAAATGTAGCTATTGAATGGGTAGCTGGAGATAAGCTGTGTGTTAGAGTACGCTGATGACTTCGTATGCCTGTTGGAATTTATGGAGGACGCGCAA